GGAGGGAAAAAAAAAAAAAAAAAAAAAAAAAAGGCAAAGAAAATAAAGCTGAGTACAACCAAAAAGAAATGTTTATTCTTAAAGGAAGGAGGATGGAATTAGCGCTTTCCATTAAAGTACTTTGGAAATGACTGTGTTGCTAAAAGAAATAATGGCAGAATGGTTAAAAATAGGAACCTGCTCAGGGTACCCAGGCAGACAGACATGAGCTTCAAAGACTGCAAGGAACATGTGGGGCAGTCCTCATCAGATTTCACACACACACACAGATTACCATTACAACCTAAGTGTCCAAAGGTCTGGAATCTCAGAACTGAAATTAAATATGAGTAAAAGTTGTATTTCAAAACCAGCAGGTGACACTTTAACCTAAGGACCACAATGCCATGCACTTGGGGCCTAGTTTATGTGAATAACAAGTTTGCATATGACGATCAAGGTCCTCTAGAGGAAAAAGACAGGGTCTCCTCTTAAAGACAAATAAGGTTAAAACGTGACAGCTCCTAGCAGCATTTTAAACTCACTGAGGGAATTTCAGAAAAGCTACCCTCTCTCCTATAATTTACACTGTTACTCTACCTTGGTGCTGCTTTTAGGCACTTACTGCTCAGCTTCATTATTTTCTATTTATGAAAATGAACTTGAAAGGCAAGTTTAATCTTGCAGCAGTACCAGGCCATTTCAACCACATCTCTCAGTGGTCGATAACTAACTGGACAAAGCACAACATGAATTCATATTGTTCTGAGACTTTTAATTAACTCTGGCCAAGCAGAGTTCTTGCCAAAACATCAAATAATTAAGGCTAATTTAACACACGCTGTAGTAAAAGCACATAACAAAGGGAAGCTGAAGAGTCAAACACAGACCATGCCTCTGTGTCTTACAGCAGAAACATAAGTTATGGAAACAATTGTGACAGAGCAGATGCAAAAGCATCAGCCCCAGGAACGCAGTGGGACTGATATTTTTTCTGGTTTTTACATTATAGCACTAAAAATGCTAAAGGGTGTCTAAAACAGCAACTGAAGCTCTAAGCAGACTGGAACACCAGATACACCTTGATAACTACATCACTGTTAACCCCAAACCCTGCATTAAGGGGAGGTTTCAAACTGAGGAATGAAAAAAAGTATATTCAAGAAGCTGAAAAGATGTCCTTCACTATCCAGCACCTCCAGCAGAGAGCAGGCTCAACCCCACGAATAACACAGCTCTCCTCCAATCTGAGCTGCATCTCTGACTACACAGCAGCACCAGATATTAACAGCCAAGGGCTGGCCTTGATCAACTATCTTTTGTAACAAAAGAGTCTTTTCTCCACATCTACATATCCGTAACCACTCCAACACTTCCTACTTATATATGTACATCAAGGTCACAGGGAAGCTGAAGCATAAAATACATGCTCACTTCAGTTTTGTGGGTAAAGCAATAAAACTGAAAACAGCACTGAGCGTTCCAATTTGAAACATCAGTTTAACATAGAACTGTGCTCTCATGATTGAAAAATATACCTTACGAATGATTTCTCTCCCTTTATTTTACTTGGACATGGTTAGAAAGAGCCCCTACTGTCTGCAAAGACTTGATACGGCTTGTTATATTCTCCATTCAGACTGCGAAGGCTTAGGATTGTCAGCGTTTGTCTAGAAAACGCTTCCTTTTGTTCCAGTCCTTATAGCCCACTCCTTCACAGAATCACAGAATCACCCGGGTTGGAAGGGACCTCAAGGATCATGTAGTTCCAACCCCCCTGCCTAGCAGGGCCACCAAACACACACATTCAGATCAGGTTGCCCAGGACCCTGTCCAACCTGGCCTTAAACACATCCAAGGACGGGGCATCCACAACCTCCCTGGGCAGCCCGTTCCAGGGCCTAACCACTCTCCTTGTAAAGAACTTCCCCCTAACATCCAACCTCAATCTTCCCTCCCTCAACTTGGATCCTTCAATTCATTAGAACTTAGGAGGCTTATAGCAGTATGAGAGGTGGAAAGATAACAATGCTCTTCAGTAGCAGCAAAGCAGAAAGAAATGGTCAAGTGATGCGAGAACTTCATCTGCCCATGAATTCTGAAGTTGAACACAAGATAGTGTACTAGAATACAGGCACCTTTCCCAGTAAGAAGACAACTAAAATTCAGCTCTGGCTTAGGAAACACTGGATCTGATATTCTTTTTGTAAGTTTTGTGTGTATAGAAATTACTATAGAATGAATTTCAGATTAGAAATCTCGAGGAGATTCAGTATTTATTCCACACTTCTTGGATCTCAAGATACAAAGTTACTGGACTGCATCCAATCCCCAGACTACCCACCCCTCCAGCTGTCATTTCCAGACCCGTACATCAGCTGTAATTTCTGGATGTCTGAGTGCACCACTCTGTACCAATGAATGGTACAAATCATCTTGCTAGGTGCTTAAAATAGGACACTATTAAGAAAAGCGCCAAAGCCATATATTTAGCCTGAAAGGAGACAGCTGATAAACGCATCCAATCCAGCTTTATGCGTAGCAGTCAGCAAGAGGCAGCCACAGCGCGCTCCGACTTGCATTCTAATGCAGAGGCAAACCGGCCTGCGCGGCGCTGGAGGCGTTTAATCACCAGCGCTCTCACCGGGGGCACCAACGCGGTGTGGGATTGCTAAGCGCGCAGCCAACAGCGAGGAACAGCACCTGGGCCCAGACCGGTTTCATTCCCCAAAAGCGGGCGAGGCCGCACCGGACGCAGCACTGAGCACGAGCCGCCGTGCAGAGCGTGGCCGCAGCCCGTCGCCTCACTCCCCGCCGCCCTCCGCAGGCCCCGGCCCCACCGCCGCCCTCCTCCACGCGGGGCCGGCCCTGCGCCTCCGCCCGCGGGGGCCCAGCCGGGGCCGGTAGGCGGAGCCGGGCCCTCTCCTCGCGGCCGCCCGGGCCTCCTCCAGCCTCGCGGCGCCATGCGGCGGCAGGCCCTGCCCCGCTCCTTGCGGCCGGGCGGCGCCTCGGCGCTCGCGGACGGCCTCTCCTCGGCGCTGGGGCGGCGGAGGCCGAGGCGTCACACCGAGGGGCCGGCGGCGGGGGGCTCGGTATCCGAGGCCCTGCGCGAGCGGCGGCGAAGCCGCGAGAATGGGAGCGGCGGCCCGCACTGACCGTTCGCCCGCTTCAGGGCGTTCTCGGGCCGCTGGAAGTACACCGGCATGATGGCGGCGGCCTCGGCTCTCCTCACAGGGCGGCGGCGGCGGTAGCAGCGCGCTCCGTGCTCAGGCAGCAGCCCGCGAGGCCGGAAAGGGAGGGCCCCGCCGCCGCGCGCGGTGACGTCGCCGGAAGCGGAAGTGCCTCTCGGGGGGGCGGGGCGTTCTGTATGCAGGGGCGTTCTGTAAGGGGCTGTGAGGCGTGGTGCTGTCGTCGGGTGTGAAAGATTGTTTTGACACGGGAAAGTGGAGTAACGCTAAGACACGCGAATTGAACCCAAAACTCCTAGCACAGCAGCAATGAAACGTAAGAGGGATGGGATATTTGGGGTCAGTGGGAGCTAGAATGGGGAGTCTCCCAGCAGAAGCGTGCAGCGCTGCAGTGAGATCCCTGCTGGCACCGCAGATGGAGCTGCGAGCACAGCCAGCTGCCTCCCTCTGGGTTCTGAGCTATGTCCAAGCATGATTTAGTTAGAAAAAAGAAGTAAAAAAAAAAGAAAAAAAGTCCACTTATATATATAAGTTATAATTCCAGTGCAGCCTTCCTTCAGCTATTGCTAGTGCTGAGCCAGCCTTCTTCTCAGTTAATGCAATTAACGTAACGCCCATTAAGACCAGCACACACTGCCTGCTGCAGCACAGCCTCACGCACCTGAAGCACACCCGTCTGTGCTGCTGTACCACTGCTGACCCTGCAGTCTCACAGCTCTCTGCAGTGAATCTGTATGCTAGCAGTGGGCTGCAGGTGTGCTACCGTGTACCTCCTATTGTTTAATTGCATCATCTGCTATTCAGGAAGCTCACTCCACTTTTAATAAACATCTCTGAAGTTCCTGATAGCCCCCAGGAAGTTTTGGATTGGGCAGGTTTTTGAAGGGAGCTGTAAAACATGATGGTTTTTTTCCATCAGTAATTTTTTTTTTTTTTTTTTTTCCATCAGAAGAAGGGTGGCCAGCAGGGACAGGGAGGCGATTGTCCCCCTCTGCTCTTGTGAGGCCCCATCTGGAGTACTGTGTCCAGGTCTGGAGCCCCCAGTACAAGAAAGACAGGGAGCTGTTGGAGAGGGTCCAGAGGAGGGCCACAAAGATGATGGGGGGCTGGGGGCACCTCCCCTATGAGGACAGGCTGAGGGAGCTGGGCTTGTTCAGCCTGGAGAAAAGAAGGCTGCGGGGTGACCTCATTGCAGCCTTCCAGTACCTGAAGTGAGCCTACAGACAGGAGGGGAATCAACTTTTTGAGAGGGTTGGCAATGCAGGACAAGGGCAAATGCGTTTAAGTTGAAGGAGGGAAGATTTAGGTTGGATGTCAGGAGGAAGTTCTTTACTATGAGAGTGGTGAGGTGCTGGAACAGCTGCCCAGAGAGGCTGTGGATGCCCCGTCCCTGGAGGTGTTCAATGCCAGGTTGGATGGGGCCCTGGGCATCCTGGTCTAGCATTAAATGTGGAGGTTGGTGGCCCTGCATGTGGCAGGGGGGTTGGAGATTCATGATCCTTGAGGTCCCTTCCAACCCGGGCCGTTCTGTGATCCTGTGATGGTTCTGTTCTCAAACGAAGCGACTGAGCTTTGTGAATTACTGCTGCCTTAACGAGGCTCGTTCAGCCTTTGGGAACACCGGGCGTTTGGGCGCAGCTCTGCGAGGTCACTTCAGCGGGAGGGCGGCAGCGCAACCTCTGTTCTTCACGTCGATTGTCCGCCGCGTCTTAGAGAGACGAGAGCTGTTAGCTGAGGAAGGAAGCAGCGCGATGGAGAGGGCAGCAAATGGCGGCCCGGCGGGGCGGGGCGGAGCGGAGCGGGCGGAAGGCGGGCGGTGCGGGGCGCGGGGCCGGAAGATGGCAGAGCCGGAGACGCAGCTGCTGCTGGGCGTGGGGCTGATCGGTAAGGGCCGGGCTGCGGCGGGGCGAGCTCGGAAACGGGGAACGCCGAGCGACGTAAAGCGCGTGAGCTGGACGCGTAGGATGAGGCGTTAATCCGGCTGTGGTTAGGCAGTCATCTCGCTTCCTTGCTGCCGCTTGGCGTTCTCACGCTGCCCGTCTTTCCGCCGTAGAAAAAGACAGCAACGGAGATGCTTTGTGGGTTTGGTGTTATCCGTCTGTGACGGCTGAGCTGAGGGCTCTGTTGCTGCGGAAATGCTGCCTTACGGATGAGAGTAAACTGCTTCATACCTTTGTGTTCGGCCAGTACAAGAGGACGTGGTTCTACATCACCACGGTGGAAGTTCAAGACTCTCCTGCCTTGAAGAAGGTAGGGCTGGGCCTGCGGGCTCCTCAACAGAGCACGAGGAAGACTTGTGCAGAGCTTCCTCTGCTGCTTAACTGCAAACACTGCGCTGCCCTTTTGTGCCGTGAGGTTTTGTATGTGTATGGATGCAGGTCCTACCCAGCTGTCCGACTGGCTGCTTCTGGGAAAGGTTGAGATGAGTGGAATCCAAACTGAGTGATAAGTGTAAAAGCGGAGATGCTACTATTTTAGCTATTGCACTTCAAGTTCATCCTTTTTTGTTTAATCAAAAAAAGTTTTACAAACAGTCTTTCCTGTTGTCCGAACTCTTATTCTTAGGAACCTAGAGTAACATTGTTTATTTTCTTTTCCACTCCATTAAAGAACAGAAGACTGAATTTGCTTCTTTATCTGCCTATTATAAAGATCATTAAGTTGTCTGTTAAGTTTCTTCCCTTTTTCTGTTTCATCCTACATTGTTAAGGAGCAGTACAACGTGATACTTTTGAATGCATACAGAATGTTGCAGCACAATGTTCCTTGCCTTTCCTCAATCCGTAGCTCCTATCAGCTATGAGGCTGAACAATATAAAAACGTACCTAGTTCTGCCTCAAAGGCAGTAGGAGATGCTATTTAAAAGAAAGAACGTGTTAAGTACGTTAAGCAAATGATAATATGTCTTAGATCTCACTTGATGGAGATGAGTCGCATCAGAAATCCATTAGCTCAGCCTTCTCTGCAGTTTAGTAACTTGAATCTACTGCTTTAACTCACTTTATTTGTATTAAAGCATCTTGTCTGAGTGCAAAATGTTCAGTATGTAACAATCACTGTCCTTATGGGGCTGTTAAGTAAGCTCTGTTTTTTTCTGTGTGTGCCTTGCTCAGGTGACCCACTTCTCCATTGTTCTGACAGCCAAAGACTTCAACCCAGAGAAGTATGCAGCTTTCACTCGGATACTCTGTAGGTCTGTATAAAAGTTGTCTTTCAGTGATGCTACATATGTGTTTTGATCTTAACAAGGCAAAAGATTAAATGTCATTATGTTGTGTTAATACTTGTTCTAGCAATCTGCTGGAAATTCAGTCCTACAAACTGAAGCAGATTATACAAACTCTGGAGTTGGGCTTGATTTGAGCTTATCTTGAGCTCATACAGTAGGTGTTAGAAGCTTCAGGCCTAGTATGTTTTACCAGCAGTGAATAAAGTTTCAAAGGTGATATAACTTTGTGTCTAGCTGAAATTGAAGGTTGGTAGTTAATTGACCTTAACCTCTAAATTAGGCTACAACGTCCCTTGTTGCCTGATAGACAGCTAACAGTTTTGTTTGTGTTTAGTGAGTAGTAAGGACGTACATTTGCATTTTTCTTTCATCATTTAGCAAAGAGTATGGGAGAATTTTTAATGGTATGTGGGTAGTAGACAAAACTAGTCAAGTGCTCTGCATTAATATTAGAAGTTGCTACAGTAGTTGTTTTTCTGTGAAGCAGATATCTTCTGTGTGTGCAAGGAATCCTTAATCTGGACACCTGCTTAGGCCTTACTGTTACACATTTCTATGTTATTAAATGTTAGTTCCTTTGCAACACAGTGCACTCAAAATAGAAGTTAGTCATTGATTCTAAAATGCAAGTTTTTGTAGGCATGTCAAGAGACTCCTATTTTAGTATCTAGAACTTCAACCAAGTGTCCAAAATAAGAATTCTTGCCTAATAAATTCTCTTTGCAATACTGTCATTTTATTCATGTGGCTGCTGGTACTGGTTATGGTCCAAAACCCAGATTCTTTCTGTCTGCACAGAATCTACTTGAAGTATGGAAGTCCTGTGAAAATGATGGAGAGTTACATTGCAGTCCTTACAAAGGGGGTCTGCCAAAGTGAAGAAAATGGATCCTTCCTCAGCAAAGACTTCGATGCTCGGAAGGCTTACCTTGCTGGTTCCATTAAAGGTTAACTAATACCAGAACTCTAATTTATTTTGTACAGTGTAATTTACAATCCAATTTTTAATATGCTCTTCAAGTAAATAGTGTGAAGTGTCACCTGTATTGTTGTTCTTGAGCTTCTTTAAACAGATGAAATCATCAGCATGTATGTTTTCTATAAAATATTCTTCCATTCCCTTTTAGATATAGTATCTCAGTTTGGGATGGAAACAGTTATCTTATATACAGCACTGATGTTAAAGAAGAGAATTGTGGTGTACCATCCTAGGATAGAAGCCATCCAGGAATTTACCAGGTGCAGTATGACTTTGTCAGTCCCTCCCCACCTACTCCTAGAAGTCAAACAAATCTTGAGTTTCCATTGAGAGTGCTCGAATCTTGGAGGAAAAAAAAATCAGAATACGTTTGAATATATTTATTGAAATCCCCTTAGATCCCTCGTAGGGCTTTAGCCACTGTGCTTAGTTAAGACAAAGAAATTTAACTGGGTAATGAATGATAAGTTCTGCTTGCACTGATTGCAGAAATCTCTGCATTTAGTGTATATGTGTACCAAGACCTGGTCATGTTAGTTCTTCCTTATGAGTTGCCTTTCGTGTTGTGAATCTTTAGTGCAGGTACAAGTGTACTGTGTGTCAACTACTGATCTCATCTCCATAGGACTTTGCCTGCTTTAGTGTGGCATCGGCAGGACTGGTCAATTCTTCATTCCTATGTACATCTAAATGAAGAGGAAGTAGAAGCCTTAAAAGCCTGCACAGGTAGTAACGATTCGTTAATAAAATATGAACAAAACTTAGTTTTATTTTTTGTTGCTGCAGGGTCTTACACCAGTGCTCTTTGGGGTAGAAGTGGATATTCTACTGCTATTGCTGTTGTTCCAAAGTAAACTATGTGATTTTCTTCAGGAAAAAAAAAGCAAATACCTAAGCAAGTATGTTTGAAGATAACTCGTTAATTTGGTGTTTCTGGATGCATCCCCATCAGCCTACTCCTAATGCAGATGAAAAGAAGCTTTGAGGGTCTTCTGACGTTATGATCAGAGGGATTAAAAAGCCCTACTGTTGCACAGCAGCAATTCACTTTAGATAAGCTGTTTGTTTTCAAACTTTTGCATGCAGCTGGTAACTTCATTTTTAGCATTTTCTTTTCAGTTCCTAAGTCTGAATTTCCAGATTTTTATTCTGCAGGAAGGGGCCCTTTGCCTGTATGAAGGTTAACATGACACAGACTGTGGCAGGTACAAGGCTTCTCTATACAGCATAATGAACAAGAACACCAGTCATCTTCAGTATTTCTTCTGCATTACTAAGAGTGTTTGTTTCAGCTGACTGCCTTTCACAGAGAAAAGTTGTTCCAAGCTTGCTCAGCTGGTGTGCTATGAAGAAGAAATCCTGCTGTTTTCACTCCTCAGTTGTAATCTAATAGTGACTTAGTGACAATGGGCTCAAGTGGATATTCTTTTAAGGAAGTTGATGGGTTTTTCACTTGCAAATAAAAAATTAAGTAGGAAAGCAGGAGTTTAACATTTCAAATTGACAGCCTTTTTGTATTACATATAGTAGTAGGGGGTTTCTGCTATGTCTTGGAATTGTTTTTATTTATCAAGCAAGACTAAAATGATAATGTTAACAAAACTCTGCTCTCCAGGTTACATTGCTGGATGTACAGATTCTGAAGTGAACAGTAGACCAGACCTCTATGATGTGTATGTGAATTTGGCAGACAGTGAGATCACCATTTCCCCTGTAGTGAAAGGTTGGTTGCTCTGAGTGTTTTGGATCTGAGGTCTCTTTATCTTAGAGTTGGTAGTAACTACTGAACCTAAGCAGTCTTAATACTTGTGCCAGACTGATTCTGAAAATGTAACAGGGAAGATCCTGTATTTCTGTTTTATGGAGGCCTTGGCATGCTGGAGAAATTTGGAATTTAGAAAGACGTGCTTTCACTTCCAACAAATGTGTAACTGAGATTTGAAAACACTTATGTTTAGTAATTACATGGGAGAGACATTCAGCTGAGGATTACTGAATGCAGGGATATCACATGAATCCTTAGAAAAACGTTGCCTGAAATACTTGGAGATTGGAAACTGTTTGAAAGGGAAGCCTGTACGTGCTGGTCATCTTGCTGTTCGTTGGTATCTGCTAAAGGCTGCCTTAGAGGTGGACAGTTGGCATGTGCCAGCATGGCTGCACCATTTCAGGTTACTGCCTGTACAGATAGATACCACGTGGCGGGATGAAGAGGACTCTTTGTTTTGCCTTGCTTTTCAGATACATTTCTAGGTAGTGCAGGAATGGTCTTTTTTACATGAACGTGTTCTTTTTCTTGTTTAGAGGCAATGACAATGGGAAAACTTCACAAAGAAATTGGGCAGCTAATTGTTCAATCTGCAGAAGATCCAGACAAATCAGACAGCCAAGTCATTAAGGTTAATTTTTAATGTTTTTTGCTTTTAAATTCACTTCAATTACTTGTATCACATAGTATCTGGCAGGAGCAGGGGAAGCAGCAGGAAAGTGGTTACTGGGAATGGGGCTCATGTAGAGTCATGTGCAGTTTTGTACCCTTTACTTTCTTACAAAGGAGCATTTTTATTCTCCAAACAGTTGTAAGGATAACCTGTTTGGTTTATGTTATCTCTTGGGTAACCACATTGCTGAAGAAACTTCAGAAACTTTATGGAGTCTGAGGCTTCCAGTGAAATGAACCTTGCAGTGTTACCCTAGGGAGTGTGTATTTTGCTCAGTACATTGTCAATTGTACTATCAATACCTCTGAATGACTTCTACTGATATGTGGGTTCTCAGCTATAAAATCTATTCATTTATTTAAGTTTCGTTTTTGTTTGTTTTTTGTTTTCTGTTTTTTTACTTCCTGCCCTATTCAGTGGATTACTGCCCATTTCAGTATTGAGCAGCTTAATCAAAAAAGCTCAGTTAGGCCAGGGAGAAGAATCTATGGAGTGGCTGTGTTCCATCAGCTGCTCCTTTCATCAGTATTGTACCAGAGAAGAGCTGCTGCAAATTTGCAATGGAATAAATAGTGCCTTTATTTAAAGTTAACTATTTGTCTCATTTTCTTTATTTCTTATGATTTTTTTTAATAAGATTTAAAAACATGTAATACCTCATCCCTTACTTATGGTTGCTTAATTTTTTTTTTTTTTTTTTTTTTTTTGGTTCTTTAAGGATATTTCTCTGAAGACGAAAGAAATCTTGTCTACTTTAGCCTCACTTACTGAAGTTTCTGATGGCAATGAAAAACCAACCCTGAACTCTGAAGCTCTGAAACAAAAACGATTTCCACCAGCTACAGAAAATTTTCTTTTTCATTTAGCAGCTGCTGAACAAATGCTTAAAATCTGAATCTGATGCACTTCTGGACTATGGACCAACTCCAAAAGCTGTCTTGGATGTACAAATAGGAATACCTGATTTTTTGTATGGAAAAATTAAAAGTGTAAGAGTGAATGCCATATTTACCTTGATGTAATGCAGAATATTGGAGCTTGACCTGGAGCATCCAGAGGTATATCTGATAACATTCCTGTTGTCACCTTTCCCCAACTGTAACTTTGTGTGTATGGTTCTTGCATTTCATGTTACAACATGGGTGTTTATACACATAGTGTGGGCTCGTGCATCCAGGCTGTGCCAGGCGTTGTAGCAGCCATTTGTCTTGCATGTCCCCAGTGACAGACAGCTCTGACTTCTCTCCTTGTGTCTGGAACACAGGGTGCAGCATGTGTGCTGTAAAGCCAGTGCGTTTTGGATGTGCCTGTCTGCACAGGGATATGCTGAACACAGAGTTGTTCTGAATGCTCATTCTGGGCTTCCAGGTATGTCAGGTTGTCAGATATTGCCTTTGCTCTGGACTACCTGATACCTGGAAATCCCAAATAAATGGACAAGTTCTCTTCTTTCTACTTGAAAGTGTCTAGGTGTAGAAGAAGGATGTCTGGGAAAATCTGATGTGGTAGCCTTATTATGTAAAGGAAGAGGTATTTTAAAGCTCACGTAGGAGTTGAGCACCTCTTTTGGACTCTTGCCTTACAAGTTTTTCCCCTTTCACTCCGTCCCACGCCTCTGGTGGAGGGAAAAGAGGACAGGATTGCTATATGTAAACTGGGGCTTTCTGGGAGGCAGCAGACAAGTGCTGCTTTACAGCTGAAGTCATTTTAGGAGCTGTTGGGGCTCTCTGCTGGGAAGAATTAAAATTTCCCTTCCTGTTTGGTTGCATAGCTCTAACTCAGAAGTTTTGTTTGTTGTTTTTCCATGGAGCAGCCTGAAACTAATTTGTAACATTCTGAGAAGAGCTTAGGTTCTGTGCAGGGGAATGCTGTGAGCCAGGCAACCTGTCTTCCTCCAGAAATGTCCACAAAAATAAGTAAATTCTGCAGTAGCACTTTGTTATAAGAAAAAATAACCTTTTTTTTCTGGCCTTTGTACAGATGGGCTGTAGCATGTGGTTTTACCTAGAGATTTTATACTGATAATTAAAACTGTAGTTCTCAATATTTATGTTGTTTAAGAAATCGGATGTTTGCTATTCTGAAATTGTTAGAGGTCATCACTAACTGTGTGCAAGCAGTATTGGTTTGGAAAAGGGTTGCCCTTTTGCTATGTATCATACTGCATTAAGATCTGTTTCAGTGTGGGTGAGGAATGTGGCATCTATGTATAAAGTGGCTGGCTACTGCAGTCAGTGAGTGGAAGTGCTTCAGAATAAACCCCTATTTTCAGGGGTATCAAATTCTACCTTAAATACTCACTCTGTGGTTTAAATTCTGAACACAGGAGAGCAGTGTGTTTTGCTTTATCTGAGAACGAGCTGCCTTCATTTACCTCCAAGTGCTCTGCAGCATTTTCCCCATTTGGCCATTAAGGTGGTGTGATGGGTTTGGATTTGTTAATTTTTCTCTTTTTAATGGTTCTTCATTACTGCTGTTTCTATTCTAGGGTTTCTACAGCAGTTAGAACAGCACAACTGCAAAGTTACACTGAAAATTCTCAGAATGTGCTTTAAGGTCTGCTGAGAAAAACCTGAATTTTTGTCAAGTCCCGTAATGCCACATTGTAATCGCAGAGAAATTCAGTTTCTTTTTACAGAAAGCCCTGCAGGTGTCCTCATTAAGGTGGTGTGGGGTTATGGGCAGCCACAAGAAGCAGAGAAGCTCAAACACAAAATAAAAGTTTCTTTTTTTTTTTTTTTGCTTTCTTTTAAAAGCAGGAAGGCCTCAGTTTTAGATCTTGTATTCTAATACTTGTGTGACACAAATGAACTATAATTTTGCACTTAAAGAACTGGACTCATAGCATGCTTATGCTTATTAAAAACAACAATCCTGACCAGCCTAGCCTTTAATTTATGTGAATTTATTTCTGAGTGCTCACAAGCTGTAGCTCTTGGTTGTGCAGTGCTGGTGTTGGAAATGAGGCTGCTGCTTGGGTGGAAAATGCACTACTGCTACAACTTCAAACAGTTTTATCATCTTCTGTTGGTTGTCCTGGTTTAAAATATAAAATAAAAAATATTGGCTTCCCTCAGCTTCAGCACTTTGAGAGAATAGTCCTAATCTGCTTAGATTTTCTTGATAATTGTTTCTTCCCAGGAGCATGTTAGAATAAAACTTCAGTCTGGAAGGTCAGGGAGAAGTTGCGGCTTGTTCTGCGCTTCCCTCTGCCTAGGATGCACACCAGCTGAGACTCTGGGTGTGCTGCTGTCGGTAGGGAACAGTCAGATGACAGTTTTACTTCCTCCTCCTAGAAGGGAAGACTGTGCAAGATGAAATTTTCGTGCAGACCTTCTCGTCTTACTGCCTCTCTGTCCTTGGATCAGTGTGAAATGATGACCGATGGTTCCTGTTGATTTGCTGAGAGATGCTGCTCCCGAAGGCGTGCAGCACTTGGCCAAAAGTAAGGCTTTTTGATTCTTGGAAGTTGCCGTGCAGTTCCTTCCTCAGGTGAGGAGGGAGAAAACGTGCTCCGTGCCTTACCCATTGCCCTTGTGATTTCTGTACTGTACAGTCTCATCAGATCTCCACTACGCTTGCAAAAACAATGGTAGATGGTGAACAAAGCCAAAAGCCTATAAGGGAGAGCAGGATTAGTAACCAATCCTTCTGGTTGCAGTTTTGCTAATTAAGTTAGTCCTTCAAGGCAAAACGTGTGTAATTTCTAGTGCTGTCATCCTTGTGGTTTTGGTTCCTGGGATAAACTGGTTTCCATATTTCTTCTGCAGGCAAATATTAGGGGGAATGTTCTGAACGAGAACAATGTAATGCTGAGTAACCTGGGAAGGAGTGGCACAAGATGTCTTCAGAATTTCTGTGGAGACTCCAAAGATGGGAGCACAGTGCTTTTCTGAGCTGCACAGCGTGTGGTGTTGCTGGTAGGGAAGCAGCTGCTGAGCAGTGCAGGATTCCCTCCTTACTTGCTTCTTTCCTTCCTCCCCTACGACCTCCAGGGAAAAGTAGCATGGCAATGTTACAGACTTGTAGGATAACCACAGGGACACCAGCTCCAACAGAGGAAATGCTTTGATCTCAGTATTTCCAACAGTAGGAGTGTCTGACGTTTTATTTCTTTGAAGCTACTTTAAAATGACACTGAAGCCTCATTATATATTCCTGAATTTCAAGATGACAAGCTGGGTAGGTGGGGAACTGTCAGCATATTGCACTGAGACTTAGGTTTTCCTTGAAGCTGAAAGCTCCCATCTACTCTAGTTTACCACACCTTAAACTGGTTCCACTACTACATTGCCACTTAAGACGGCAGCCGATGCTGGAAGCAGGAGGCAGCAATGCTGAAAGCAGACCTGTCTTGTGCTGGTGTGTTGTTAATCTATTCCAAGTCATAAAGCTGTGGGTGCTGACTTTGTTCTTCAGTCCCTCAAATATAATGCACTGCTGCTTGTCCCATCTTGGTCCCCTCACATAGCAGGTGTCTGGTCCAGCTGCTTCTAGTCCCAGTCTCATCATGTTTTCATTTCAAGATCAAGGAAGCCAGGGCCTTGTCAGCAATGTATTTTGCCTACCTTGATGTGGGAAACAGCTGAATCACCCAGGCTGCCAATCTAGATGTCAGGTGCTTGCCTCTATCTTCCAGAAAATTCTGATTAGGGAAATGGAAACATTTCTGAGAATGAGGGAAAGAGAAGATATGTCTAACAACTCCAAGGGGGTTGTGTTTAATACAGCAAACAACTCGAGCATTCACTAATAATGGGCAGCTGTAATAACAGACGTTATTACTGGACTTATTCCATAAACCTTACTCACAGAGATGTGATGACATTAATTTGCTTCTAAGTGGGGTGCCAGACAATTTATGGCTTGTCTAGTTACTGTGACAACCCAGCTGATGAATGTGTTATCTTCAGATTTGTAGGTTTTGCTCTATTGTGGATTGTTTTGCTTTTGCTTTGATTCCATTACAGTGCTTTACAGAACAACTGTTTACTTTATCCAGTCTGACACGGATGTTTGTTTTTAAATGAGGGGAGGTATGAGCTTTCATTGGACTATCAATTAATGTTTACCAACAGTATTAGACTCCCTCGAGGTTTGTCTTCACAATCTTACTGAAATAGGATTAATAGAGAAATGGGATTTTAGAGAATTTAACTGTAGGATAGTAGCTGTGCTAATTAAAGATTTTGAAGGAGATCAGCACATCATTGCTTGTGGGAGGCAGGCTGGACTATAAGCCTGCTCCTAAGCCTCTGCACAACATCCCAGAGCAGCCAGGAGGTGGTATGCAGGGAAAAGGAACAGGACAAGCCTTTCCCTTACTGCCTTCCCAGCTTGGGAGTGCTGAACTTGATGCAATCTTTTCTTCCTGCATCTTCCTTTGGCTGCTGTTGGTGGTGACATATGGCCAGAAGGACCTTTGGGCTGATCCAGAGCAACTGTTGCTGCGTTCTTGACCCAATGGGCTTTTATGTACCCAAAATCGTGACCCACAAGGCAAGTACTGTATTTAGAAGCATGAATATAAAGGTTTGGGTTATTTATTTTGGGCTTCATGGGACTTTTGAGTCAGTAGGTGTAAATGAACTTCTAAGGTATCTTTCTCTGTTAACTTGCAAATTGTGGCCATACCACCTTCCTGAAACTGCTTTACAGTGTGCTCCCCTGAAGTTTCAGGTCCATCGGATGTGTTCCTGCTCCCCTCCTTTGTTTCCTTGCCTGACCTTTCACTGCAGTTAAATTGAGAGGGGAAGGCTCAGAAAGGCAGAACTTGCACAAAAAGCTGAATTCAAAACCATACTTCCTGCTTTTGTTTTGTGGCAAAAGCATAGCACCCTTGTTTTCCTGTAAGAAAGCAGGCCTACTCTTTTTCCTTACTTTGCTCTGTGCTGCTGTCTTCTTGTAGGGACTAAGAGTGGGAAGCTATTGCTTTCCTCACACCAAGAAAAGAAATCTAATCCTTCAGCAATGGGATAGCATTTAATGCACTCTGAGGAAGTTTACTACAAACGTTGAAGGTAGTACTTGTGAAAATATCTGTCTGATCATTAATTACATTACTTGGTGCATATCTTATCCTTGTCACGCAGAGCCTTAGGAGTGCCTTAAATTACAGCTCCCATGACCTTAAATCTATTTCTGCTATGACCTCACCCATGGTTATCAGCACCACTGGGTCTCCTACCAGTTGTGGAGCTTTCTTCTATTTTGTTCCCTAGGAGGAGAGTCACAACAGCAAGCAGCATAACAGCACCTGCGCTGTGTCAGACCAAAGCTGTTTTCAGACAAATGTCTCAGCCCCGTGGCCACCAGAAGCAGACACAACAGGAAAGCAAGAGCAGGCAAACCCCTGTTACCCCTTCTGCTCTCCAGTAGTACTGAGTTTCTAAACTTTGTCTTGTTTTAGTCTAATTTCCATTAATTTAATAATCCTCAGTGGATTTTGTTTTCATGGAAATGCTTATTTTAAACATGAGTTCCAGTTACTTCAGTTAGTGGAGTTCTGAAATTTTAATAGCAGGGTTTTAGATTTAGCTTCTGAAGTTTGACTTTCTGGAGCTTTTCCCTGATAACTCATTGCCTACTTTAATTTCTGAAGCTGTTTCCTTTATGGATAACCACGGAGCACTGAGCTGAAGCTTCCATGAGTCTATCTGCTGCTAGCCTTGAACTCTACTCCAAGGGTCAATGGAACAGCCTACAGCCCAGCACTGAAGGCAGAATACCCCTCTGCCAAACTCATCATCTTTCACACGTGCTTTTGGACATGTATTCCACCTGTTTTTATATCCAGCATTGTCAGCTCTCTTTGCTAACATCTGCTATTGCTGCATAGATCATCAGGCTGATAATCCTTATGCTACATCTTAAAAGACAGCTTTTTAGTTTGGATCAGCAGCCAACCTGCAGAAATGGAGATTCCTCATTGTTTGCTGTGAAGTCACAGGACTTCCCTTGGGCTTCCATGGAAAAAAAACCCCACAAATTTTAAAGCTCAGAGGGCTCAGGCCTCACAACTCCTTATGTTGAGAAAATTAGGAGTCACTCTGGAACCTGTTTTGACATGCAATTTTTGAACAGTTCTTCAGCAACTCCATTCAACTAGAGTAACATTGCTGTCGGGGTGCTTTGCCTAATGTCACTTCAAGGTTTAACTCATTCATGTCTCACTGCTTGAAGTAAGCATTCCTAAATACAATGAAATTGTAAAAAGCTTTCTGCAAAGAACCAGCTTGACTTTCTCCAAAGGACTCCTGATAGTACTGCCTTTACAATTGTGTTCCTGGAAAGCAATGTGTCAAAAGCTATAGCAACACAGTCAAATAATAAAGTCTTGTATCAACTGATCAGTCCTTTAATCAAGAAATCAACTGGGTGAGAAAGCATACAAAACAGTTTGAGATGTTAGAACAATGTTCTCTGGTACAGATCATGTTTACAGCATTAAGTTATGTGCACATACTTCTCTGGGGGACTTGGCTTGCAAAACCATTTTGCAGTGCCTGCCTGTCTGTACACCAATTCTGGTTTGTGTGCCACCACAAATTCATGATTCGTTCAGTCACTGATGTTGACTGGATTTGTTGAGAGATTCAGAATTCACTTTAATCAAAACCCACATTTAGATACAAAAGCCAATCTCTAAATTCCTCTATTGTAGAATAATACTGTTTCTTCTGTAGATGACAGAATTTCTGCTTCAAGTTCTTCTCGTTTTATCTGAAATATAAAAAAAAACAGAATGAACACCATCATAGCCTGGTAAGTCTTCACTACTGTATTGAACTTTGCACAAGCCAAAGCACTGTATTCAGAAGCAAGAGTAAGATGTAATTTGTGTTTGTTTTGGTTTTCATGGGTCTCTTTGTTTGTTAGGTGGTTTT